GAATAGTTGTATGTATGCAATGCATAAGCAAAACATATCCGTTCTGAAGAAGGCACCTCTCCTAATTCACCCACTGAAGCTACCTGCCTGTCACCAGGCATCTCAGTTTGCATCTCATGGTGGACATTCTCAGAGAGCAAAAACACACCAGGCTGAATACACAGAAACTGAGGTCATTTGAAGATGGTCTCATTTATAGACAATATAGGCCTTGCTGAGCCAAAGCCTCTGAGTTTACTTCCCAAATTGCTTTTCCCGTCAGGCAGGCCTGGCAGGACCAAGCCAGGAGCGGTCTGCCTCAGCCTTTGCTCATCTTCCTCACCCCACGTGGAAAGTTCTCCCTCTATATTTCTACGCAATTAATAATAATAATAATAAATGATTTTTAAACAGACCTGATACAATCCTGGTTAAAGACTCAATGTCTCCCATTAAGCCCTCCATCCTTTTTCCAGCCTGCCCTCATTTTTTGTTCTCTGAATGATTTTAAATGTATAGTAAAAAGTAGATAATAGTGGAAATAATACACTTAATTATAATCTAATTCATTTATGCTCAATAGTTTTGTGTCATAAAGAAGCATAGTAATATCGTAGAGTGGCAGAGACCGTGTTTTATGTTTTATATAACCCTATAGTGTGTGTATGTATGTGTGTGTGTGTTTGTCCCCAGAAACTATCACAGAGATGGATAAAAGCTTGCAAACTATTTGTTGATTGATTTGGTAATTGAAATCTAAATTTTTGTTAATACAATATTACTGGTATAATTTCTACTTTTTTTTTTTTTTTTTTTTTGCGGTACGCGGGCCTCTCACTGCTGTGGCCTCTCCCATTGTGGAGCACAGGCTCCGGACGCGCAGGCTCAGCAGCCATGGCTCACGGGCCCAGCCGCTCCGCAGCATGTGGGATCTTCCCGGACCAGGGCACAAACCCGTGTCCCCTGCATCGGCAGGCGGACTCCCAACCACCGCGCCACCAGGGAAGCCCCTAATTTCTACTTTTTCTCATGAGCATTTGGGTTCCAGTCCTCCACCACCTTCAAGACTCTCCCCCTGGGGAATCTCTGATTTGCTAAACAACGGTGACTTGAATAAAGTACCACAGCAACCAGTGGCACTCGCTGTTAATTAGAGCTGAGATCTCCTGACACGCTCACCCACTTTACTTCAGCATTTCCTCCATTCCTCAAAAGAGCTGTTAAGGACAACCATTTCAAGTGGCTAAACTACTTTTGTTAAAGCAAATAGTCTGTGACTGGTAGCAGTTGGTGTGCCTTTGTATGCGTGTGTGTGTGTGTGTGTGTGTGTGTGTGTGTGTGTATGTGTGTCTATGTGTATGTGTTAGTGAAACAGACAGAGAAAGAACCAGAAGCAGAAAGTTGATGGACACAGAGAGGGGGGATTTAAAAGTGGAACTGGTGGAACCTTCTTATATCTTGAGCATTAGGTGTGGAGCTGGGTACCTCCTTGTTTAGGGAAGAGGGTTATCGGTCGCAGTTCTGGTGTAGTGTAGGAAGGGGATTCATAGTCCAGTGGCCCCGTGTCAAGGAAACAATAATGAAGTGTGAAGAGAAGACAGATAAAGAGTAAATACTGACTCACTCTCTTTTGTTCCAAAAAAGCAAGTCCAAAATGCTCTCTTCACATAGTTACTTGCCTAGTCTGGACAAAGGCCATCTCACTGATGAGGGTTACTCTTTAGGGTGTACACCATTTGTTTAAAACCCCAAAGGTGCGTGAACTTTATATTCAAATATCAATATTATACCTTTTTTGCTAGTGGAACTATGCCATTTTCTAGTATAGAATTGGCACATTTTAAGCTTTTTCTTTTTAGAAAAATTAAAACTGCCAATATAACAAATAGTTTGCCTTTTCTCCTCTTACCCTCAAAATTGGAATAAAATAGCCCATTCTCAAGGCTCTGATAACACTTTTCCACTCATACAAAGGTAAAAAGTTGCAGAACAGAAAATAACATTTGTCTTGTTGGAGGATTATAGGAACATTGTTACCAGACCTATCTGTACAGCTGCAGGTACAAAGGATTCTGGCACCAGGAAGTTTCCAACAACCAGCCACAACTCCTCCCCTTTTAGTATAAAAAAAGCTGGAATTCTAACTCAGGAAAGATGGTTCTTTGGGACACTAGTCCACCATCTTCTGGGTCTGCTGTTTTACAAATAAAGTCACTATTCCTTGCCCCAACACCTCGTCTCTCAATTTATTGGCCTGTCGTGCAGTGAGCAGTAAAAGCTTGGACTTATTAACAATGCTGACTGTCCCTGTCTGAGTAAATGGTCTCCCAGTCACCCATGCTTGAAGCCTTGGAGTTACCATTGGATCTTTCATGATGAAAACTGAATTATATTATATCTATCTTAAAAATATTCAAATGACTACAAAAGTCCACCACATAATGTTCAAAACCTAACCATGATGGGGCAGATAACTGTCCATCGCTTATGCAACACTCCATCCCCATCCCTGCAAATAGGCTGTTGATTTCATTTCCAGGTATAAGGCAGAGTTCCCTTGATTTAAGGGAAAGAAAGGCCCTCTATACGCCCATGATGTTTCCCAGATCTGGCTAAGTAGATCAAAGAGAGCATCTGAAGGAGCATGATGCCCAGAAATGTCTCCTCAGCTTGTGATCACAAATATAACCATCAAGGGTAGCAGAAGAGAAGAGTTAGAAGGATAGAAAGTTCCTTGGTCCTCAATGATATCACTGAACAGTTACAAGACTCCTGCAACTGCCTACCTCCAGACCCAGCACTATGGAGAGTTGACAGAAGCCGGTATTACTTTAGCCACTGTTAATTGGTGCTCTGTGACTGAAAGCATTTCTGTTTAATGCACAAGACCCTTCAGGATTCTTGCTATCTGGTCCCACCCTACTTTGCAGTTTCTTCAACCTTCCCCAACCCTTCACAGCAAAGGTTCCATCCTGTAGTGTTTTAGATTTTCTTTTAGAAGGCTGACGTATTTCTTCTGTGTCCTCCAGGTGAGCAGCTCTTGATGGTTCAAGCTCTAGCTCAAAATGTTACCTCCTCAAGCGATGATTGTCACTCCACCAAAAGCCTCTGATTGTTTTTCCTGAAATCACACCCTCCCAAGAAAAATTAATTTCTCCTCTGTGTTGCATATTATTTCTATATAACACATTCTGTTGCAATGATCCATTCATCTGTCTTGCACTTGCCTTTGAGTCCCCAAATATGAGGATGTCTTACTCATCACTGTATTCACAGATCCTAGAACAGTGGCTATTTCATGTAATAAACACTCAGCTAATGCTTCTGGATTTTATAAAATACCCGTGGTCACAAGAGGAGCAGATACTATTCATGGTTTTCTTGGATAGAACTGGTACAAACTTAGATAATCATTAAAAATATACTACTAATAAACCTAAAACTAATCACAATTCCCAACTGAATAGTGATGTCAACCTTCTTTGGGAGTGGCTTTTTTAATTTCTACAAAATGCTATTTGTTCCCTATGGGTTTTTTTTTCTTTCTGACAAAATGCACAGATATCTTCTTCTCATACACCTATAGATATTTATACTTTACTACCAAAAATATATTTTTAGAGTTCTGATAAATTCACATAATGTTCCTTCTCTGCGAGCTGAACTCACGCTGTTGATCACCCATGTGATACATGATATGGCTCTACCACCAAAGCTTTCAGTTACATTTTCAGTCTGAGGAAGCTGTTGCTCTACCTCTGCCTGGGTATTGTTCTAGAAACATCCCTTCCCCAATATAGAGATCTTCATCCTGTTCCAGTTTTTTTTGTTTTTGTTTTTTTGGCTGTGTTGGGTCTTCATTGCTGCATGCAGGCTTTCTCTCTAGCTGCGGCGCACGGGCTTCTCATTGCAGTGGCTTCTCTTGTTGCAGAGCGTGGGTTCTAGGCACGTGGGCTTCAGTAGTTGTGGCTCGCGGGCTCTAGAGTGCAGGCTCAGTAGTTGTGGCGCACGGGCTTAGCTGCTGTGCGGCATGTGGGTTCCTCCCAGACCAGAGCTCGAACCCACATCCCCTGCATTGGCAGGCAGATTCTTAACCACTGCGCCACCAGGGAAGCCCCCCTGTTCCAGTTTTAACTTGTGCGTGACTGTCAGAGAGACCACAGGCTAAACTCATGCTAATTGCTTTCCAAGATGAATATCAGAGTTGAAAAAACATTAAAGAATTGGTCTTTTCTTCAGAGCTCTAACACTCTTAAGGAATAGAAATCTGAAAACTACAGGCAGTTGCTTGATTATTTGCCGTTTATTTCAATTGACAGCTCTCTGAGTCCACCATATAGATCAATCAGTTCAAAGCACACATATTCTGCCTTTTAAAAATTGATGTTTAATAATATTTATCTATTAACAATGCAAAATTGCATCACAGATTTTAATTTCAACTTGTGAATTTAAAGGTGTGTTAGATTATAATTTTCCAGCTCTTTTGACCTACGGGGAAACTTAGTACCTTGCCCAATGACCAGTTACTGTCTTCAGTTTATTACTGATACATCAAATGTCTCATAATATTTACTCTCTCTACTGCCTTCATATCGTCTTTGCTACATTTTTATCCTCAATTTTACTTCCTATTCATTTTTTCCCAGTTGTCTAGAATTTTTTTGAAGCAAAGGAGGCATAAACTCTAAGTTACTTCAACTTTATAAATGAAAACTGCTTTAGATGAGCCCCGAGGATTCTTTTTTTTAAGAAATTTAGTGCAAGACAGTTGGAGTTGTAAGGGCTGCTGCATTGCACAGCTCCGAAAAGCACCATTCACTTCTCTATCATCCATGTGAAGAATGTTCCCTGTAGTGTGCCACATGCTGTCACCTCCTTTTGTGCGCAGGGCTATTTACGCTGTCTCTATGAGTAGAGACAGAGATATCTGTGGTTATGGTTTTCTAAGTGATAATTTCATAAAAGCAGTTTCTAGACACCCGAGGACTTACCGTCCAGGAGAACATTATCTTTCTTACCTGAGCTGTGGTTTCCTGCTAGCAAGGTGGGGCTCACAGAGCATCTTCCCAGTCTACTGGTGACCACAGGTGGCCCAGGTGTTCCATCCCATTCCTGAGCTTTGATAGGCTCTCTGGAGGAAGATGCCCCATGATGTCCTCTCTCTTTGTTGTCCAACTTTGGTATTGGTTCCGTGCTGTGGCTCCGAACTTTCAGCTCCTCTGCTGATTCTGTGTATTAACCAGAATTACATTCTGTTAAACAAGAGTCAAATCCTTCCCAGGTTCCTTAAATATTAAAGAATGATTTTCTAAAATATTTTAAATATATTTTTGGAAACTTAGACTTGTGTTGAAGACTACATTTAAATAAAACAGGGACAGCTCACATGGGTCTTTTTTCTGAGCTGTGCAGGTTATGATCAGCAGAAAATAATTATCTCTTCGGAAGTAGAGAACCTCAATGAATATTCAGAATCCTTTAGTAACTCTTCCCTTCTGCTAATCTTCAAGGAAACTTCATAAGGAGCACTTTACACTCCCTCTCTTTACTTTCTCATCTTCTCTTCATTCTGCTACCCACTGTGACATGAATTTAGCCCAGCCACTCTACTAAAAGTGCTTTTGCTTAAATCACCTAGTGCTTTTTAGTTGGCAAATTAAGAAGACATTTTTAAGCCATTTGATCACTCTCTTATTGATATCTTCAATTTTCCTGGCTTCACTGATGGGCCATCTTCCTGTGGTGTGCTCGCTAACACCACTGCTGTGTCATTCATACCTTTTCTTCCTCAGAGAGTCCCTCACATGTTGGTTGTCCCCAGGGTTCTAGCTTAGCCACTGTTCTCACTCTATATATATTCTTTCTGTGATTTCATCCTCCAGGATTCAACTAGCAATTGTCTGATGGCTAGTGATTTCTAAATAGTTTGTCAGAAGTCTGGAACATTCTCCTGAGCTGCAGACTGATTTATCCAACTGCCCACTGGATGAGTCCATCCGGATGCCCCTTAGATAACACAAATTTAACATTCACGCACTGTACTGACACCATTTCTTACTAAACTAATGGTTCCTTCTGTGCTGCCAAACATCCACACTAGAAACGTATCTGTCTCTTCCTTTAGCCGCTACTCTCCAAATCCATCAGTCTGCAAAGTCTACAGATTTTATTTCTAAATATCTTGTTTTCCCTTCTGTTGCACTTTGTATCACGTCTACCTCAACTGTTCTGGCTCAAGCTCTAATCATCACCCTTGAATTATTGCAACCTGCCTCCTTGACTCTGTCCTTGACTCCCCAAAATACAAGCTCCGTAGACTGCCAAAGTGATCTGTTTAAAATGAAAATCTGATCAAGTGTTTTTTTCAGGGACTAGATGCGATAGCCATTCTGTAAGGCATGTACAGAAGTGTTTAAAAGCATATGTAGTTTGGGATTAACAGAAACACACTACTATATATAAAATAGATCACCAACAAGGACCTACTGTATAGCACAGGGAACTTTACTTAATATTTTATAATAACCTATAAGGGAAAAGAAGCTGAAAAAGAATATATATATATATATATATATATATATATATATATATATATATATATCACTTTGCTATACACCTAAAACTATCACAACATTGTAAATCAACTATACTTCAATTTAAAAAAAATAGCCAATGGGAAAATTTTTTTAAATAAAATCACTTCCTAATTAAAAAAAAAAAAGCACATGTAGTAAATAAACATGGTTTAGGAGTGATATCCACTTGCTACATTCAGAACGATGTTATTTCAGAGAACTGATGTGATAGCCATTCTGTAATGCACATAGATAAGTGTTTAGAGACAAAAACAAAAAAATGCAAATCTGTTCTTAAACCCTGACTAAAATCCTTCCAGAAGCCCACTGTTACCCACAGAAGTATGTCTAAGCCCTTTACAACCCACAAGACTCTCCACCATCTCACTCTTTCCTGCCTCTCTAACTTTTTTACTTCCTACCTGAATGTTGTATTCAAGAAATATCAATAAATTGGCTGTAGCTTCCTCTTCTCCACTCCACTTCCAACAAAAACTTCCAAGAAAAACAACACTGGTTTCTATAGCTACCATCTCCTATCTCACCTGCTTTGAATACCCTTACATCCTGTCCTTTAATTGGGGAACTCTTTCCTCAGTCAAGGTTACTTAAGTATCCTTAAGGCCTCCCCATCCCATATATCCAGCCCATGTTGGGATAAAGTCATCTCTGCACTGACACTGTCTTGTATCATTTTTCTGTGTACCTGTTCTTCTTAAAAGACCCGGAGTTCTTTAAAGGCAGGGTCTGAGTATTTTTTTTTTTTTTTTGCAGTACTCGGGCCTCTCACTGTTGTGGCCTCTCCCATTGCAGAACAGGCTCTGGACGCGCAGGCTCAGTGGCCATGGCTCACGGGCCAAGCCGCTCCGCGGCATGTGGGATCTTCCCGGACCGGCGCATGAACCTGTGTCCTCTGCATCGGCAGGCGGACTCCCAACCACTGTGCCACCAGGGAAGCCCTGAGTTTTGATTTTTGCTTTTTTCTCCACTTGGTGCCTCTAGCTCTTAGCATATTGCTCAGTAGGTATTTAACCAATTCATTTATCGAGTACATTTCCCAACTCCTCCGGCATCTTTCTGATGTGTGTAGAAAATACAACATTCTTAATGCAACAAGAGGATCAAGCCAGTGTTACAAATGTACTGAAGTGGCACAGAGCTAATAGTATTTTCAAAAATCTGGTTACCCAAAAATCACAAGTTGTAAAATTCACCAGGTTGAAAGTTTAATTCAAATAAAGATCATTGAGAAAGACCATAGTGAAAAATTACAGAAATGGTTCAGAGAATCTGTATTTTGTTTTCTTTGCATGTAAGTTCGATCACTCTTCATCTTCAAGCAGTGTGATAAGACAGATGTCACACTTTGGTTCCCTATTATCCGAATCTGTGGGGCAGAGACAGAATAGTTTATAATATAGTAAGCAGCTGGGTGAGGGATCTGAGAGGCCCAGCTGGGAGCCTTGGCCATTGTGGCCATATGGCTGGTGGCCCATGACACTGAGCCCTTGGTTTCTCCACTTGGAGCTCCATTTTGCTTAACTACAAAATGGAGATAATACCAGCCCTGCCTAACTTTCCCAATTTAATTTGAAGGATCTAATAATATCCTACATTTTAAAATATTTTAAAAACAAAACAGGGCCACACATGCAAAAAGTAGCATTCATTTAAAAAATTGTAGTAATTTGTCATTTATGAATTTATTTATTCTTTCTACATTTGTTTTGGATAATCACTGAGAGACTGAAGATACAGATAGAAAATTGCCAGACCACATAGAAAAATAGAATTCTAGCTGATTATCTACAATAACCAGCCCAGAAAGCCAACCTACAATCTATAATTCAGACTTGTAGAAATTCAGACCACTATCTCTAGCAAATAATAACCTGTATATAACAATTGGCCCAAAGCAGCCAGGATTTGATTAAAAACTGACAGCTTCCCCAGTTTTTGGCCCTGCTTTTAGCATAGGATCAACCAGAGAAAGTCAAATATGTTCCCCTAACCAACGACATAGGATGTCCTGCTTCTAGTTAGGCTGCCTATAGCTTCCCTATGCCAACAGCCTTCACTGGGGGTGTAACTGAAGCCTTCCCTTTTTCCCACTATAAAGCTTTCCCACTCTTCTCCCTGCCTTGAGTCTCTGCCAAATGTGGTGGCTGACTGCCTTGCTTCAGCAAGTCCTGATGAAATAGCCCTGCGTGTTCTCATTTGTTTGCTCTTCGTTTATTTCCACATTGCTATGGTTCCTTCCAGCTCCCAGGTGCTATGCAGTTGTGTAAACACATGTCAAAAATATCATTCTATGAGACAGAACTTAAACCAGGAGGGTAGTTCCATAAGAACAATCTTAGAAAGATCCCAAGCTTAAGTCCCAGTTATACTGAAATCAAATATAAGTAAAAATATTTTAAACTAATACATTCCAGCAAATAACTATAGCAAGACAATTTAACCAACACTTACTTTTCTGTGCCCTGAGTCAAATGGAATAAAACCAGTATCAGAAAAGAACATCCTAGACTGTATCCAAGCTGTTTATTCACAGTTTCAAAGAAAATGTAGCTCTGGCTTCCAAATGTCACAGCATCAGAACCTAATGACCCATCTGCTTCACCTCACGTTCTCTTCCAGATTTTAAACTAACCATTGGGATGTTTGCCTTATTATCGACCTCTATGTTTTATTCCCACTGCCATCATTAAGCAGTTACAATTTTTTTCTTATCTCTCTCTCTCTCTCTCTCTCACACACACACACACACACACACACACGCACACATACACACACACACACACACACATACGCACACACACAAACACACAGAGTCTTCTACCACTGGTATTGAAATTAACCAAACTAAAAAAAATGCTCTAATTTAACACTGGGTCCGATACTGTTCCTGCAGGTTCGGACACTATTTTAAATATGAAAGGCTGAGGGTGTCAAAGCCTACCCACCAACCTCAGTTTCTTTGTTCTCATTCAAATTACTCACATACACACACCAGGGAAGTGTCATTTAGGTCTCAAATCTCAACTAAATAAAAGTCCAGTACAGCTTTGGGAACAAAAAGGAGTCTTTTTTTTTTTTTTCTTCTTTCTTTGTTTTCAAGTCCCAGAGGTTAGCCTTCAGTGAGTTTTGGCAGGTATATTTAGAGAAACCTGAACAAAAGGTTTGCACAAATCATGCTACTCAGACTTGTGCCGGTGTACCTTCACATCCTAAATAGAAGGCAGAGCTGAAAAATCTGTAAGAAAATCATAAATGTATTATTGAGCATTTTATTGGGGAATCAACCAGGTATCCCGTGATATTCAAGAAGAGCTTCCTACAATATGCATTTTCTAATTAAAATAAATACGAAAAACTTTAAAATAACTGTTGAAAAGAGACCAATGGAAAGTGGACAATTAGACTAAGAAATTCATACAGTAAGACATATTGAAAGCTCAGAGAAATCTGTTCCGAGGAATAAGGATGTGTTTATCCATATCCATACATCTCAATGTTTTCTTAAGGCCTGTTGAAAACAAAAATTGATTTTTAGTAACAAACTTTCCTGAACAAGATCAATCTTAGGTACCATGGTATGTTTTTCTTTTTAAACATTTTTATTGGAGTATAATTGCTTTACAATGTTGTGT